TGTTCAGCCTAGAGAAGAGAAGGCTTTGGGGAGACCTTCTTGCAGCCTACACCCACCTCGCTACAACCTCCTTTCAGGTAGTTGTAGAGAGCGATGAGGTCTCCCCTCAGCCTCCTTTTCTCCAGGCTAAACAGTCCCAGTTCCCTCAGCCGCTCCTCATCAGACTTGTTCTCCAGACCCTTCATCAGCTTTGTTGCCCTTCTCTGGACACGCTCCAGCACCTCAACGTCCTTCTTGTAGTGAGGAGCCCAAAACTGAACACAGTATTCAAGGTGCGGCCTCACCAGTGCATGTCCCTGCCTCACCAGTGATGTCCCTGCCCAGGGCAGGGGGGTTGGACTAGGTGACCTTTAGAGGTCCCTTCCAACCCAAACTGTTCTATGATTCTATGATTCTGATTCTATGATCAGATGCCTACAAAGCAGCCTCAAGTAATGGCAAACTGTAAGACAGCCAGCTGTCTGAAATAGAAATATGTTCAGTAACTTTGCAGACTACTGAACAAATGCAAGCGGCCCATAAGCATCTACTAGTATCTCCCTGCTCCTAAATTGACAGATAGGGGACAGTAGTCCTAGTGATTGATTCTGGATCAGTGCAAAGAACCCATCATTTATTCTGGTATTTTTCAATTGTGTCTAAGACTGAAAATTTGAGAAAGGAGCTAAAAAGTTACACTGAGCCCCAAACTGAGGAGCTCTCAGTTCAGCTTTTATGTGTACGCTTTAAAACACTGTACTGTAATACTATGAATAACATATACAGGCAGGATACACTGAAGGCTGGCTATTGCTCTTTTTAAAGTCAGTGTCTGGGCCAGTGAAATGAGTGTCATAGAGAAAAATTGATGTAAAACAAAATGCTTGATGTGGTACATAGTGAGTTTGCTTAATCCCTGTATTTGGAAGTCACTGTTGATCTTATCAGCAGTGGAAAATGTGCTCCCCTCCCCCTGCTTAACACGACCCAGATCCAGCAAATCCATAGAGTACATCAACTTTAATTTCCTGTTAATAGTGGACATGCAGTGCACTGGGTCAGAATATTTAAAGAACAATATGATTGATTCCCATCACTGAGCTGGTTATCAAAACAATCCTCTAAAGTGCACAGGAGTATAAATGTGTAAAACTGAGCCTTGCTTATGTTCTCTTGTGAGGGAAACGAGAAGCACTCTGCTCTAGCTTGCTATGTAGTGTGCCTTGGTATTTGTGAAGCTGCCAAGGCTCACAGGAAAGAGTAACAACATAATTAACAGTGCAGCAGTGTTTAGCAACATTCCTTCTGATCTTTGTAGGAGTAGGAGCCTTCAGACTCCAGCCAACATATTCATCATCAATCTAGCTATTAGTGACTTCCTGATGTCCATTACGCAGTCTCCAGTTTTTTTCACCAACAGCCTCCACAAACGCTGGATTTTTGGTGAGAAAGGTTTGTATACATTCTTTCTAAGAAATCTCTAAGTATGTTCTTACCGTAGTGGCAGTTAATCTACTATTTCCTTACCCTCAGATACACTTGCAATGTCGAGAACATTGCTCAACATTGTTTCAGTGTTGACACAAATGTTTCTGAACATTTTTGTCTGTGTGCACTAAACACGTTCCCACCATTGAGAGGAAAACTACATATATGAGATACAAAGGCGACATTGGCAACGTAAGGCACAAGGACTAGTCTTCTTGCCAGCATTCTTCCCCAATCATCTTATAACTTAGTTACTGGCAGAGTCCTATGACAAAGAAGGACCACCCCCCAACACACCAGCTTAACAGCTGTTCTAAATAACCTGCTCTGGCACTTGCACCTGGCAAAGAGAGGCAAGAAAGCCTGGCAAAAGTGAGTTTTCACAAGAGAAATATTAACTGAACATTTCCCGTGCAGTAAGAAAATGTGGAATGAAGGTGCTTTCATTCTTCCTCTATAACTGTAGTAAGAGGAAGACTAGTCTTTGCCTCTTGAACAGGTATTGACAGAGAGGAAGGCCAGAGAAATAATGTTGCTATTTTGATCTCTGATGACCAAAAGCACATTTTGTTTAGTTCCATGAAGTGTTCAGTTGCATACATGTTAAAATAAAAAAACAAACCAAACCCCTGCTTCTAATCATTAGGTTGTTTGAATAATTAAAATCACTCATTAATATATTCATAGTCTGCATATTTACTCCAGTTATGCTGACCTTGAGATATAAATGGTTCCATGATATCAAAGTAGCTATAACCCCTTGTTAAGCAAAACAGCTGTTTCTACGGGAGCTGCAGTAAAACTGGAGTTAAACAAGATATTAATGGACTGCTGAAATGATCCCACTAGAAACATCAGAAATCAATGAGTGAAAATATGTTAAGTATCACTGTCTCCAGCAATCCAAGCAAACAAAATCTTTAAAGTTTATCTCCATGGATAATGTAATTAGCGAGACAGACAGCAGCTTTGAAATAGCAGGAAAACTGAAGTTCCATTGCTTTACAAATTCCAGAAGACATTAGTTCACAAGAAACACAGACTTGAACTCTCCCAGAAATTAATTAGCATGCGTAGATTAATTTCACTGCTACTTCTGTCATCTTCGTTGAAAGGCTGTGAGCTGTATGCCTTCTGTGGAGCTCTTTTTGGCATTACATCTATGATCACTTTGATGGTGATTGCCTTGGACAGATATTTTGTCATCACAAAACCTCTGGCTTCTGTTGGAGTGACGTCTAAGAAGAAGGCCCTAATAATCCTGGTAGGAGTCTGGCTGTACTCTTTGGCTTGGAGCCTCCTGCCCTTCTTTGGATGGAGTAAGTGAAATGGAATAAAAGTATTTTTCCCTCATAGCATTGGATTAAAGACCGGTTACAGGTACAGAAGAGAGTTGAATTAATGGCTTGCATATTAGGCTTGAATAAATAAATTTGAAGAAAACTGATAAAATACGTATTGAAACTGAAGATCTCTAATCAAAAGAAAAAAATCCAGTGTGTATTACAGCATATTATATGACAATGGCACTTTTCCTTAAGCTCATTACTTACTGAATAAAGAACAGTAGATAAAATCAAGGACAAAATTTATGAAGGATGTGCCTGCCTATTATCCCGTACCTACTTGGGTTGAACCAAATTCAACAATATAACAGTGAAATAAATGTATTTATGTTTTTTCTGATGAATTTTTCCTCCCCAAAGGTGCTGTGTAAGACAATAGTGTCAATCTACATTTCTTTATTCGCATAAAAGAGGAATACAGTCTGAGTATTTTGTGCAAGTACTTCTTCAGTAAGACCTGACTTGTTCTAGATGGGCAAATTGCGCTAGGTGTTGGTCACATTCTCCATTCAGCCATTGGTATCTTCACTAAGGCTTCTAATAAGGATGGCATTTAGTAATAACTAATTTGCTTTTGTAAATGTGAATTTTACATCTGCAAATTGGAACACACGTACAGCATCTTGATCCTTGCAACTTGTAACAAAGAGAGTTTCTGTTATTCTTCCTCATTTGAAGCCGCCTCACTACCATTAATTTGTTTCCTATGAGTCACCAGTTTCAGTCAGTAAGTTAGAATGAACTCATCATTCAAAACCCCAGGCCATTATTGTGCTCCCTAATTCCAGAAGAGAATGTGTCGGCTCAGCTGAGGTGAGAACATAGCAATGTTTGATTTTCCCAAAGGATACTGCAACCAACTCAGTTACTGAGTAGAATTTCAGCAGAGTTTTGTTATTGTCTTGTTATTGTCATTCTGGTCCCCCATAAACATGAAGCATGTTTAAGCAGGCAAACTGCAATACTGGGAGAAGCAGCCTTTAGTTGAATGAGGAGCTGTTAGAACAACAAAATGACAATAGTCTTAGATTCTAGATTCTTAATTGGAGAAGGTGGAATAATTGCTTGAAGGGTGTTGTTATCTTGTAATTAGATCCTAATAGTACCCATAGTACTAACTCTCACATGGTAATTAGATGCATCTGAGCACATCTCATGCAATATTTTTAAGAGTTCAACAGAAAATATCACTGTAAACAGTGAAAATTAAAATACAAAGGTAAAAAGACATTGCAGTTGATAATTTCTTTACTTAACAGTTTGACACAGTTCCTTTAAGGAGATTATATTTTATTTCAGGCAGGATATTACATATATATGAATTTTTTTTACTTTTACTCAACTTCATGACAAAATTAATTTCGTCTGCACCATAAATCTCTCTCCTTTGCACAGTGAATTTCTTTTATCTGCACAAGCTGAAAGTGGTAGCTATAGCAATCAGTTTCATTTCACTCCTTGGGAAGACAGCAATTTGACAGGAAATGGACATATTTAAAAACAATACAGGTCTGATCCAAGACCCACTGAAGTATTTGGAGAGATGCCCTTTGACTATGCTGAGCTTTAAACAATATTCAAGAACTGAAACAAAATTATTCAGTTTTCCGATCTGAAACCTTAGACCGCTAAACATAAACACAATAGGGCAACAGAGTAAAAGAAAATAAAAAGAGGTGCTTTAAACAAAGAATTGCGTATCCTTTTAACCTCTTTTTCCCTCTAAGAGAATAGGACTAGATCCCACGTTATTCTCAGTATCTTTCTCTAACTTCTGCATTCAGAATAAGACTCACTTCATGGCTTATGCCTTCTCCTGTCTTTCTTTCTAGGTGCATATGTTCCCGAGGGTCTGCTGACTTCCTGTTCCTGGGACTACATGACTTTCACACCATCAGTCCGTGCCTACACGATGCTGCTCTTCTGCTTCGTCTTTTTCATTCCTTTGATTGCTATCATATACAGCTATGTCTTTATATTTGAGACTATCAAGAAGGCCAACAAGTAAGTAGCCAACAGTCTTAAGTTTTTATCCTTCTGTTTAAGTGACTGCTTATTTTCTTAAAACAAAGACTAACAGAAGAAAATTGGGAAGTTTTTCACTTTTAATTTGTATGCATGACTGAGACAGGAAACCAAACAAGAACTCTGTCAATAGTCAACATGGTAAGAAGTATGATCCTTAGAAGGGCCATTCCTGAATTTAAGCCAGAGCTGTTCAGTATATTGTCTAACGATGCAGAAAAGGGTATGAGTAGCAGCAAGAGAAATCTGAAGGATGAGAAAGGACTACAGAAATTAACCAACCAAAATAAATACTAAAGGGATGTCAGAGACACCTAACAACAGTGTATCAACAACTATTCCACAGAAAAATAGATGGAATTAAACTACAAATTCCATGTTTGACAAAGGGTGAAAAAGAGGTAAAACATTTAACCCCAGGTCTCTGAAACAAAAACTGTTGTTGTAAAAATAAAGGCCAATGTCTGCCACTACATTTGTAATCTGTAGATATCTGTCCTGTAGATACCAGCATCTGTAGTCATATAGCTCAGAAGTACAGATAAGAGTAAGGTACCAAATTCGGACCTAGGGAAGCAAAGATGTCTCTAACTATATTTAATATAGCATTGTTCAATTGGCTTGAATACCTGATTTATGTGGAAATTCTTCTGGTACAGGACTATTTTCTTCACTGAAGCACACGTGAATTTTGCCATTGATTAGTGCAACAAAAGTGCATTGAATTGTGAAGGACCAGTCACATACATACATTAACACATTGAAAGTGCATGACTTTTAGCATAAACTAGCATAAGAGTAATTGTTGCCCCATTTTATGAAGCTATTTGCTCAATTCCCTACCTCCTTTTTTTGCTGTTATATGTTTATTTCCCCTAGGTCTATTCAGACATTCGGATGCAAACATGGAAATAAGGAGTTCCAGAAACAGTATCAGAGGATGAGAAATGAGTGGAAGATGGCCAAAATTGCACTGATTGTCATCTTGCTTTATGTCATTTCCTGGTCACCATACTCTGTTGTTGCTCTGGTAGCTTTTGCTGGGTAATTATGAATGTATCAGCAAAGGAATATTCAGTGAAAGCAAAAGGTGTGAAATTGTAAAAGACAAGAAAGTCAAAGCTACCTGTCAAGTCTAATGCCTGAAGTGCATCCAAAACATTCACATATTTAGGAGTGACATTTAACAAATGAGGCACATGCTGACTGTGATTTTTTTCTTAGTTTGACTTTAGGAAAAAAAAAAAGTAAAAAAAAAAAGAAAAAAATAAAAAGAAAACAGGAAGGTTATTACTGGCAACATAACATTACTGTGCTGATGATTTCTGAATGCAGATTCTCTATGCTAGGATATTTGAACTATCTGAACTTTATTTAGCACCAAAATGCTAAATAAGGGGCCCCAAAAGATCCACACAGGGGTTGATTCTCCTTTCTTTCTCCGCTTCTTTTACTTACAAAAGTCTATTAATTTTCTTGTGTTACATCAAATTGCTGAAATTCCTTACATGTATAAGCAAGTTTACAATCCAGGTACAAGTAACGGATTGGGAGTCCGGATGCCTTGGCTCCATGTGGATATTTCTCCCATGTTAACGTGAATTTTCCTGTGCTTCAGTTTAGCCTTTGTAAAATGGGTGTGACTATCTGCTTTAGAAAGTCGTTAACTGCAGATCCTCAAGTGGAAGACTCCTATGACAGTACAAAACACTTCTATTTGTATTTTTCAAGTCAGAAATAAAAAGTAGGTTTTCCTAAAATTGACACACAGGATAAATTTACTTATGATGGAGCATTTTGGGAGGCAGGGGTGATTTTTGTTACACACCTAAGGAAGAGGCCACTGCAGGGCCTCTTCTCAAACAGCTTAGGAAGGCAGCTTCCTAAACATACCACTTCTAAAATGTTACGCTTAAGAAGAAAAAATGCTAAGAGAAGAGGATTCTCTCCCTTTGTATCCAGAGGGGCAATTCCAAGCAGCAGCAAACATTTTCTCCATGAAGGTAAACAGGTTCCTCACTCAGAAATGCGAATCCTTAGGATGCGTCCCAGTGTCCCGTTCCCTATCACAGGTGGACTGAGGTACTGGGCACCCACCACTGGTGATATGTGACCAGCTAGAGACAGAGGAAGAGCAAGAAGACAAAGAAATGCAGCACAGCTACCTTGCAGCTCTACTTGCTCTAAGATATCTCAAAAAAAAAAAAAAGTTAGATGCTTTAAGCTAAGCATTTTAGCTATGTAGACCTGTCAGGCTGTCCTACACGATTCAGCACCTACTTTAGGATGATCAAGTGCCTTTAGATGCTTAGCTAAGCATTTTAGCTATGTAGACCTGTCAGGCTGTCCTACACGATTCAGCACCTACTTTAGGATGATCAAGTGCCTGCTGAACTTGACTTCTAGCCCATGTCTCACACTGAAAAAATCTGAACAAATGGACAATTTTATAACTCTACAGTATGTGACAAGTAGGCATTTGCAAATTTTGCTCATGAAGACATCTGGTGAGCAACACAGCTTCATTCAGCTTTTCTTCTATTTCTGAACCATGCCTTCGTTAAAATCACTGCATGCCACATACGGGAGGCAGACATGGAGTCTGTGGCTATAGCCTTGGACTAAAGACAACTCATCTGACAGAGCAACAACATACCCAAAATGAAGAAAGAACCTTAATTCCTTTAGAAAATATTTTGGATGGGGAATACTGAGCTAGCACAGAGTCATGCTCACTAATATTGTTGGTCTACAGGTTGTATTTTTTGGGAATGGTTAGCTTAAACAAAAGCCTTTGTCACTGTTTGTTTCAGTCTTACCAAAGCACTATCTCTCTCATCTCAGGGTCAAAAACTCCATTCCAGCAAGGTCGTACCGTTGTGTGTTCTCCAGACTCTGTGAAGAATTACACCTCTACCCAATGCTTTAGAAGTATGACTAGGAGAAACTATGTTAAAAATTGTATATGGATAACATGCTTATCAGAGGAAAGCCTTAAATTAGAGGTGAAATGGCATCTCAACATTCAGGCGGCTGAGAAAATGATTCCTGTGTTACCATTGGCAAACCATTGCCACCTCATCACAGAGCATAAATATTCCCATAGTACGATGAAAAATTTCTTCACCAGGAAGATGAGCTGCCCCCTACTTCTGCAATCCTCTTCGTTGTTCGTTTGCAGCACTCATATGACAGACCTTCTTCTGAGAGAGGATTGAGAGGAGAACCTGTTTTCTCCCATAATATTGTAGGAATACAAGGCTAATTGAAAGATGGAGCTTAGGCTGTCTTCTCAGGAAGAAGAGCAGTGATAAAGAAAGGATGTTATCCCTGGGAGGAAAGACGGACTTACTGGGCCATTTCACTTAGAACTCTTTCTACCAATGCAGGAAGACGTCTTCATAGCCTCTAAGCAGGCCTATGAAGAATTTGCCTGGTAGAAACTGCCTATGAAATGTTATTGTTATTTTGGTCTGAGCTGTTCTATTGACTTTCTTCTGACCAAGCCCTTATGGGCTACTTCAAGCTAGCTTCAAAAATTAACTGGCTGATAGCAGCATGGCCGATAGACATCAGTCATAATTCTTTTATCCTTTAGAGTCACATCACCTGCATATATGCATGGTCATAGTACCACATGAACGTAACATGTGACACCTGAGAATACTTTCCCTTCACTGTTTAGTTCAGAAAAATACTTCCCCTTCACTGTTTAGTTCAGATCAGGCAAAAAATAAAGTTTGAATAGGAAAATAGATTTATTAGTTATCTTTCCCTATAATACCTCATTCTGCACACCTATTTAGTGACATATTACTCAGCAAGTATATCTGCTGAGTTTGGAACAGATAGATATTCTTACGAATGCACATTCACTTCTTGAAGGCTGACTTTGTCCCTAGGGTAAACAACATGGGAATTATCACCATCCTGAGTCATAGTAGTGAAGTGCTGCAAGAGAAGCCCCAAGAAAATCATGTTTCTCAGAAATGCAATTAGGCTGGTGTTGATCTTTACAGGCAAAGTATGTAAAATTTGTTCTGTCACTGTTTGGGTACAGAACTCCCCCTTTTACTCTCTCTGGAGCACTAATAAAGCATTGTCTTGTCAGTGTGTAACTGCATAGACTACACAGAACTCAATACTAAATATATAATGTATTTGCATTACTCTAGGTATTCCCACGTCCTAACACCCTTCATGAACTCCATACCAGCTGTGATTGCCAAAGCTTCTGTCATCCATAACCCCATCATTTATGCTATCACTCACCCCAAATACAGGTAAGTTCACTCTTATAAGCTATGTTTAATATAGCAAAGAAAATCAGACAGTAACTTTGTCACTGTTAGGACTAGCACCTGAACTCTGCTTCACCTGCTCATTTTACCTCTGCAAGACAGCCTCGCCTTCCCCAAGAAAACTTCTCAACGCCATATAAACGTCGGTGGAATTTGTACTTGGAACAAATTACTATGCAGATGGGAGTTAGAGATGTTTATGGATACTGATCTGTACTCACAGATTACACGATAAAAGACAGACACCTTCCCACCTCAAAGGAAAGCACCATAAATTTTTTAACTATCTTCATGAGAGATGCAGACATTTGTCAGTGTTGCAAATAGCAGTTTGTTAAATTAACCAGGCCTGCGAGAGATGCAATTCAGTAAGTCAGTCCACCTCTTCCCTATTTTGTGCATCCTCCCCACCTTTCTTCAAGCTTTCATATTTCAGGTAGTATTTCTTCTGAGTTGTAACATCTAGGGTCATTACCATATCAAGTTCAGATGCAGGCTATGAGATCTGACGGACGGCAGCAAAGCCATATATATATGCTTTTGTTTCACCCTTTACAAAGACCTACTGGGGAACTGGATAGAGAAGAGGTGGGTGTGAACATCTAAGTGGGGAAGGCTGGAAAGAAGAGGAAAGCTGGGCAAAAGAATTTCTTTACGCAGCATATGAGGAAATACTGTAATATAACTGCATATTTTGTACAACTCTACAGATAGCCGGCAAACAGATGTGTAAGAGGAAGCTAGAATAGCTGCTTAGGGGAAGATTAAAATAATTCATTATGTGGTACTTCTGCGAGGTTAAGTTTAAAGGGACAGAATTTTATTTTTACCCTGATTAAGCTGAAAGCAGATAAAACATCATTTTAATAGCTCCCTTCAGTTCGAAGAGTTATACTTTAATGCCCTTATCCCTGCCAAGCAATAAATTTGAGTTCTGCAGAACACTGCGAATAAGTGATCTTGCAGGGTGATTGTATATGAGATACCGGATATCTGGAAAACTCTTTTTGTACCCATTGATTTTCCAGTCCATGCAGCATTAGTTCATCTCTCTGAATAAATGCATTGTTTATGATGACTGAATTTTTGTGCTAACAAAAAAAATCTGACTGGTTCTACTTCTCATCCATTAGAACAGCCATTGCAACATATGTTCCTTGCCTTGGATCCCTGCTGAGAGTTTCTCCTAAAGGCTCACGGTCTTTCAGCAGTTATCCCTCCTCCAGACGAGCAACCGTACCCAGCCAGTCTTCTGAGCTAAGTGGGCCGCAGAAAGGAAAAAGGCAACTGTCTTCTCTCTCTGACAGTGAATCAGTAAGGGAAACACTTCCCATACATCCATTTTTAATGGCCAAGTAATTAATTTTCATATGGAGTCCTTCAAAGTAGATTCTTTAGATGAAATGCATTATGGTGCTCATTGCAAGAGCTCCAAAGAAAGTAGAGGGACAAAGTGAAATAAAAGACAGGAGGATGAAGTATAAAAGCGGAATGTAGATCTTTGTATTCTTGATGGTTTGTGACACTGAAGGAAGAGTGGAAAGATGGAACAACTTACATCAGAAAGTAGGGGAAGCTTAGAGTCAGAGCACCCTTGAAAGTCTGATCATACTTCTAGGATGTACTTGTCTGACCACAGATTTGGAGTCTGGACACACACAAAAAAGAAACTGCGGGTCACTAAATAGTTCTCTAGTGAAAGCAAGGTTGTAATGAAACAGATAATGCTTTCTGAAAGTGAAGTGGGCTGTATTTGGAAACATATTAATCATCAGATTTAGACAAATCAGTAAATCCATTACAGAATCATTCTCACAGAAGACCTCAACAGCTTGCTTCTGCCAGTCGAAGTGAAACCAAATGGAAGCAACTTTATTTTCTGAGCATCTGTTCCGGAGCTTGGCTCCTTTTCATTGTGAAGAACTGAATGGAAATTGTTTCTTTAGGATTGTTTTGCACAGCTGGAAACAGGGCAAATATTTGGCATCTTAGGCTCCCTCTTGCAACCCAAAGTTACATTACTAACTAAGTAACTAAGCATATTAGTTAGTTCATTGCAATTGTTTTAAATGAAATTTCCAAATATATGAAAAGCCATAATTTTCTTGGTGATTCTTTTTCATAGTCAAGGTAATAATTGTATCTAATCCAGCCAAGCGCTGAATTCTGACAGTTGTTTTTAACAGTGACCTTTCAATTTCTTTGTCCTCTATATTCTTTTGACTTCTCAGTCCAATCAAAATTAAATTCTTCTGGCTAGTAGCCACCATTCAGGTGGAAGGTTTTAAAACTAGCTAATAAAAAAGGAACATTTTTATATTGCATGTCTTAGATTGTGAATCCTGATCCTTACAAAAATAACAGACTCCTTCAGTAACACTGTATATTCTTGTACTACCATCAGTGCCAGGGAAGGGGAACCATACAAACAATTCAACAATTCTTTTTGCTTAGGAAAGCAACTCTTAACACTCAAGGTAAAAGAGTGGAATGGAGAACAAAAATTACCTAAAGTAAAAAATTCCAAGCAATTGGCATGCTTCAGTCTGGAATTTTCTGTAAGCCTTGAGTAAGTCTGGATCTTGTTCAGAACAATGATAGTCAAGATTTTCTGACAAGAATATATGTTTCCCTTAAGTATACGATTTGACCATAGAATACTCTGATTTATTAGTAAGTAATATCAGTTTAGCTGAAGTACAGAGCAGACAGAAGGGCTCAAGTTTAAAACAAACAAACAAAATTGCTTTGATGCTCGCTGATGATTTGTTTTGGGGTTTTTTGCACCATATGTGGCTCTATTAAGCTACAGTCACAATGCAAAAAGGCAGTACATGTGCTGCTATGTATTTTATGTCAAGGCTGGTCATCAAACTGTAAGCCAATAAATTATCTTTATGCAATTTTTTTGTACTCCTGTGGATGCAAAGATATTCTGCACCTTGGAAAATCCTAAAGAAACAATTTCCATTCAGTTCTTCACAATGAAAAGGAGCCAAGCTCCGGAACAGATGCTCAGAAAATAAAGTTGCTTCCATTTTAAAAATCAATCAAATGGGACTGTAAGTGCTAATACACTCTATGCATGGAATGGGAAGCACAGTACACATTTTTTAAAATGTTGGGATCCAGAAAATAGCCTTCCCCAACCTCTTGTGCTTCAGCAGGAAAACATATGTTTAGATTGTCCTCCTGGATATTTTGTTAAGCTCTTCTAAAAAGTCTTCCATGGAGACACTTCAGTCTGCAGACACTTTGCCCTGTAGACTCATCTTCATCATTTCTTCCCAAATAGTTAGAAAGCTGCTTCTGAAAATACAATCTTGATTGCCACTGTTCCAAACTAAATTAATTTTTCCTTCCCCTTCTTCTGTGTTCCCCTTATCCTTCCCCACAGTTACACAGAAAAAATTATCCTGATCCTCCTTAGAGCAATCAATCTGTTATGTATTAAAATTCTGGTATAGCATCACTAATTGGGATTCTCTCTTAATAGTAACAGACTCATCAAGCCAATTTCTCCAGTTCCATCAAAGTTCATTTTTTTCTACACGTCTTATTTTTATTTTCTTCCCTGGGGAAAGTTTTTAAAAGTATCAATAATTGAAAGTATCAAATAAATGTTTTGAGTATTTTCAAGCAATTATATACTCTTATCTGACAGAAGCTACATCCAAAGTACGTAGATTGCTTATGAAAAACCCTTGCTGCATGAAAAAATTTAGAAGAGTATATAGCACTGTTATGTTCCCCCATTTTAAGACAAGGTTCACTGTCAAACAGAAAATAGGCTGGTTTGCAATGAGCTGCTCATCACAACCCCATTAGCTGTTTCATTCTTTTATTATGATCTATGGAATTCTGTGATTCTTCCTCTATTGTAGTGAAAAGGCTGACAGAGTGAGGAAAAGGAACAGAATTTTTGACTTCTAGGAAATTCTGGTGGGTTGGGTTTTTTTGTCTTTTTATTTTTTTGTCTTCCCATTAATTGGAACAAAGTTTATAAAATCAGGGCTCCTTTATGGAAGAAAATGTTTCTAAAGCAGTGATTCTGCAGTCCCCAGACATTTCCTTCTATGTATTTCTGCTTCCACCCAAGCCACGTCGGAAACTTTGGCCCTAATTCCTCCAAACACCTGTGTTTCCTAATGGGGTACTACTACGGAAACACTGTCTCCTCAGAGCTACGAGGTGCATCAGAGAAGTTTCAACAATAGACTATAACAAAACACTATTTTGTTTGAAATTTTGCAGTGCATCCTGTGGAGAAAAAAAAAAAAAAGTAAGCCAAATTTTAGACTCAACAGACTTGATAGTTTTGTTTGTACCTCTTATAAGCAAAGATTTTATGAAGTCATACATGGCATAACTTTTCTGAAATGTCCTTTACACAACGTCTCTCTCTTTTACAATTTCTGTCTAGGTAAAACTGATTCTTATGGGGCAAACTGGATGGAAGTCTAAGAAACCTAGTGATGTTGTTTTTGCTGTATTCATTTTAGGTCTGTTTTGACACAGAAACTGATACCCCCAGTGTGTTCTCCAGACTTGCTAGCAGACAGATTTCCTATGAAACGGGTAAAGACACAACTCAAACTAGTGACATAAGAGTCAAACCTAAACTGAAGCGCCATGATTCTGGAATTTGTGAGAAGGTAATAGACTGTGTAATATCTAAATTCTCTGACAACTGGTAGGTTAACAAAACTGCACATTTTATCACAATTAATCATGAAGGTTCCTGCCAAGAAGATGGGGATAACCTATGAGTTAACGCAATGAGTAATGACTTAGAGACTGTAAAAGGTCATCAGCTTTTTATTTCCACCCTGGTTCATTATTCAGCTGTCTTTGTTGCATTTCTGAGAAGCAAAGGTGCTAATTTAGTGAACTTAGCATCTGAATAGTATGTTGTCTTGTGTTTGGTTTTAAGTGTGTATTCAGTAATATTTTTATTTCACTGTCCAAATCTTGACCAAATTGGTCAATCTTTCTGTTGTCTCGCCATTTGCTATCAAGTGAACACATATGGTAACAGGTAAACAAGGCTATCTTTATCATATCACTACTTTTCAGTCAGTCCTCTGCTGTCCCCTTTTTTTTCTTTTTCCTATACTTTGCATTTCACCTATGTAAAATATTGTGACATACCTGTATGTCATTTATGTCTTTCTCATCTGTGTTCATTTTTCAGACAGCTGCAGATGCTGATGACATATCCATGGTAGAATCGAATGTCACAGAGTACACTGCTACACCTACTGTAAGAATTAATATTTTAATATTTGGCATGGGTCTAACTAACTGAGGGAACAAAAACTAATGACAATCCCAGTCTCTGAGCACAAATTAAGTTATTTTTTGAGATGCAAAAATCACATGATACTCCCAGCAGAATATAGAAAACATGACCACAAAGGGTAGATCATTGCTGAAACTAAGCAGAAGGAGAACACATGTACTACAGGGCTCTCCTTAAGTCCAACTTCTTCAAGGAACTTGAATATTTTCTTGAATTCAGTAGGTCCCCTGATGAGGTCTGTGATTTCCTTAGTGGAGCGTGGAAGCATTAATTTTGTGCCATCTTTATATGAATAATATACACAGTAAGCTGAGATAGCCATTCCGATGGCTGTACCTCTGAGACAGCCATAGTCTTGTGGCAAGTACTGCTGTACAAAGTGACATTGTTAACTATTTAATGTTCTCTGTTTTGGGTAGCACCAAACATCTAAAAAACGCAACTTGGAGGAAATCAAGGTAAGTTTTTGAAACACGCCATATCACCTATTCAGTAAGATGTGCTACTGTCTATTTCTTCTTCCATGTAACAAAGCTACAGCATACTGATAAAATTTTTTTGACATCTGCCACAAGTGAGTCAACTTGCCTTAATGCTTGACAGACGGGGAAATAAGAGAAAAGAGTTGACAGGTGAAAACAAGACAGTTTTATCTTTGCAGTATTAACCCCAGTGTAATATAAACATCTTAAATTATCTCTTTATTATTAGTAGTGACCCTTATGAGCTATTGCTAGCCTCAGCCTAACACTCTCATTTTTTGGTCCTGCGCAAGTGACAGCTAGCATTGCTATTGTCAAAAAATGCTAATTAATCTTCCCCTCAATTCCTGTTTTCACTTCATTCTCTAGTTTACTTCCCCCTTCAAACTATCTATGCTGTTATCACTACATTTTACATCACCTCTTGCCCCAGTGAACCTAAACGGTCCCTCTTTATGGAGGGACTCCTTACTTCATTGAATTCATAGACTGAGCATATTCACAGCACTTCTGTTCATAGTCGAACATGCTGTCATTAGCCCGGTCTTTCATCAAAGTAGACCAGCTCTTAAGTAGCAAATGCAAAGTCTGTGCTTTAGTACGTTAACTTGTTTAACAGGTTTTTTCTCATAAGTTATTCATGAAACATTCAAAAAATGTTCAGATCTACTTTTTCCTCCATCCTTTAAGTTTGGTTTTGAGTTATTCGTGGGGATCAGCTTATCTAAATATATGCCACTTCTCATAGATGATGCAACCTGATCTTCTTGTATATGTTTGTGTTTTCCATTTCTTTTAAATCCTTGCATCCTTTAGAGAGGTGAGAGCCTGAATGGTATTGGACAAAGAAAAGGAGAGTCTCACCATGGACCATCTGCAGCCCAGATACCCAGCATTACAGTAACATACAGCAATGTCCAAGGAGTAGAGCTGCCTTCTGGATACAAGTCTGGTTTCCTGTACCCTAAGATCAACAGCCACAAGCAGAACAAGAAGTCAAACAGCTAAGTGGGTGGTGCAAGCCAGAATGTCACCTTAGCCAATACCTCTGGAACAACTATGGACCCGCTGAATCCAGAATACCTTCCTACCTTGTTCTGAAATGCTCCTACAAAGACACAAGACAAGCAAGGATAAAAGCAAGGGGAGTAAGCTCTTCAGCATCAGAACTCTCTCCAGTAGTTCACTTCTTGATCTGAGTCACATTATAATTTTATTATCTCTTCTTTATGCAGCTCATTAAATAATTTCTTCCAATTGGATTTTACTCTGCTCAGGTATATTCCACCACTGCATGGATCTTACCTACAAGCCTCCTAGGATTAACCTGAGAGGAAAGGGAAGTATGAGATTCAAAACTGGCCTTTGTTCACTTAGTGTAGTTTAACTTCAAAGCTATTACCGAGCTAAAGCTGAGAGATTTGGGGGAAAACATACATTACTTCCTGTAGATGGTTTCTTCATTACTGTGAGGTTCCTAAACCAAATGAAAACTTAAATCACACAGTCAGTGCTTCCTTCTCTCATTAATGACACATTTTCCCTCATTTTCTTCTACAATCCAATTGAAAGGCAATGCACTTGAGCAGTAATTTGAAGTCTCAGGTCTTTATGTTAATTTCTGAGATTCTGGGCGAAGGGAAAGGAATCACACTGAGGATGAGGCTATGGTCCTTTCCATACTTAGCTTCTTTTTCCAACAGTCACTTAAGAGACCAGTTTAACCCACTCTTAGCTAACCTTCCCAGAGCTATAGGAAAGTATTAGGAAACTCCTTCCAACTTTCCTTTAGCAGGTTTCATGAGAAGAATACAGAATTCAAAGCAATGTTTGTACTGAAATGTCTTATGGGTAAGTCAATACATTTGCCTTCTAATACCTCAAAGCGGTTTACCTTTAGATGTGCTTTTCTAAAGTAAATCTTGGGAGGAGAAGGGTTAGTTCTCCAAAAATAGTTGTTCCAGAGATGTGTGGAATCCATGCCATCCCCACTTTACCATTTTATTTCTTCCATTCTCTAAACAGCAGCATCCTTATAGCTGAGGTTTTTTCCCACAGTGACTAAATCCATGAGATTGTACTTACTTCCCCCGAAAGGAAAGTAAAAGAGTTCTATGAAATAGTGATTTTCTGCTTTTCCCTGGTGCTTCTTCTAGCGCTTGAGAATAAATGGACAGAATTCATTTGCAATCCTTAGCAGTCTACATCACAAGAATTATGAGGTACAGTCAGTCCACAGTGGAGATATATACCTTCTGAGCCCAAAAGCACAGGGCACAAAGAGCTATTGAAACAGTTCTTCCCCATGGGCCCTCCAGTAGTTCTCCCTTTGGTTGCAATAATGGAGGGAACCCAGCAAGTCATTTTGTCCTAAGTAAATCAGTTCTTCCTTATGTCACATCAGAAAAAGCCATAAAATCAATAAAAATGTAACCAGCTTATTCCTTTGAGGGGGAAAAAAGTAATTGGTGGGTTCCAGAAGATTTAGGGCATTGTTTTGAAGCAAACTTTTAGAAACTTACTTTGAACTGAGTTTTCTTGAAAGGAAGGTTATTAAAACTAAAAATGGAGGTGATAATGACTTCTGCAGCAGTCAAATGTTAGACCATGAAAAAGTGGGCCATTCAGGCTGGTAATAAACTGTCAAAAGAAACAAACTGTTGAAAATCCAGGATGTTTTTATGTAAATAAAATCGTAGGTGTTAGAGATGGAAAGGAGCTATTAGAGTTCCTCCCTTCACCTACCACAAGCAGATATTGTCTCCAGGCAGAGGACAATATTAGACTGATAATATATACAGCTAGCAATAAGGAGAAAGAAGGGAGAAAACACGTCTTCAAACAGGAAGTATGTTCAAAGATATTAATCAAGTCTAAGCAATTTTATTATGACTTATTGCTTAGGCTTTTAAAATTATTTAAAAACATGAAGGATGTAATTCTTCCCATCCTTTGTCATGAAGGCCATTCACACTAGTGAAAACTGGGAAGAAATGCTAGCGAATGCTGCCCGTTTCATACGGGTCACAAAAGGCTGAAGCTGTCAAGAAAATAGGTCAAAACTCACACATGCTGTTTCATGTGTTAATAAGAAGTGCATGGTATGTGTCATTAAGAGCTAGACCCTTTGCTCCTGTCATGGTTTTGTTCCCAAGTAGTATTCTTGAAGACTATACTCTGCTCTCTTCTGCATTCCCTTCCACTTTTAGAGGGTATAAAAAGAACACTTCCATGGCTAGAAAAGCCTTATGAATCCGCAGCATGTTGTTCTCTATATCCTTCAACTTCAATATGTACTAGAGATTAGTTTGTATCTATAAAAAGAACTACAGCTGTCTGTGCTCGTCTACTTACAAGAGAGTTGAAAAGCATACATTAATTAGGGAGTATTTGTTTGGGAGCACTTCAAAACTCTTGTGTGTACTCCCTGTGTAACTAACAGCTTTGCCTTCCCTTCACCTCTACTGAGACTATAAAAATCATTCAGGGGAAGGCCTATAAAATTCATTTCACCTGAATATCTCTCCAGGTGATTCACACTGTAACCCCAGTGGCATTTGGAATAAATCATTATTAGTTCATATTTCATCTCATCTTAGCAGCTTTATTTGTGTCCTGTATCCTCTACTTGGCAGCCATTCTTTCCGCTTTGCTGTCTCTTTACACCCTTTAACACAGATGACTGATTGGATTAAAATAATTTAGGACTGAGATGATTCATGTTTCAGTTAGTCAACTGTACAGCCTGTTCTGCACTGGAGAGACCACCTGTAGTTTACCATGCACTTGGGTATGTTCCAGTGACTTGGAGGTGTGAAAGGACTAGGGCAAAACTGAGACGCTTCCCTTTGGCCTTTTGTGCAACAGCAGCTGTTCACAGAGCAGCCTGCTGGCAAAGGCAATAGCAAGCTGTGTTGTGAGTTAACAGACAAGCTCTTCACCTCCATGGGCTTGAGCTCAAATTCAGACTTGGGTCACAAGTGAAAACGTTTGGTCTGATCATCCAAGCAATTCTGCAAAACTGCTGAGCAATTGGTCACTATTGGCGGTCCTGCAAAGAAGGTGCCAAGAGCCGGTGTAATAAAAGGCCGTTGCAAGTCAAGATTGAAGTACAACATAGGCAGCAGTCACAAGTCGCCAATCTTTCCAATTTTCACATACTGCCAGCGATCTTAATCCCTATGTTTTGCAGGTTACAGCCTCATTTTCCATACTTTTGGAAACTGTTTCACATCCACCACTGGACTAAAAAGTGTCATCATAGCATGTGACATTGAGTAAATTTTCACACATTCTCAGGTAAGACAGAGTAGCAAAGAGTATTTTTCTTGAAGTCATATACAAAACCAACAGCAAGCTTGACATTCAGAAAAAAACAAAGGCACCTCCGATGCTTTTTGGGTGTTTCTACAGCTCTTTAGGGCATAACGTGGGTAAGTAAGTCGCATGTGTTCCCGTTTTCCTTAGTGTGACTGGTGCCACTTTTTACTTAGGCCATTCCAAGAAGTGCTGCAATGTGGCCCTCATCTTTCTCTGATCCCTCAGTGAAAGTTATTGCCATCTTAGTAACTCTGACAGGGCATCTGTCTGTCTCTGCTTCTGAACCACTATTTCCGCAGGGCTCTACTGAGAGAGGGCCCTTATCTGCAAAGCAATGTTAGTCAGACAATGGCATTTCAGTGGCTGAGCAACAGGTATCTCAGTTCAAACACTAGTGCTTGTAGTCTTGCAGTTGTTAATGTCACAGGAATGTGAGGAGTCCCATGTTATAAATAGGTTTATATAAAAGCAGTCTTAAAACAAATAAATGAATTATTAGTACTGTCATTCCTAGCAACCCTAGACATGGGCCACAATCCCATACACTAAACATTTCATGTCGAACAAAAAGATTACTATACCTTCCTCACCCCATCAAATTTACAGCCTAAATGCTCATTTTCAAACTCATGCAAAGTTCACAGTTGTCAAGATTTACAAGTTGTCCTATTAACATCCCTTCTAAGGACAGTAGACTGAGTAGATCATCAGTGTAAGCTTAATAAAGCCAGAAAAGTTTCTCTAGAGCAAATCTAGTCTTAACAGTCTAATATAAAGCACAAACATTAGTAAGAATATTTTTTTTTTGTAGGAAAATACTTCTTTTAGTTACAGCAGTCCTGGCAGCAGCAGGGTTCTGCTGGAGACACAGCACAGGAATTCTATGTACCTGGCTCGCAGAGCAAAGCAAATGCTGCAAAAGTCACGTCAGCGTAGGAAAATGCTAGTACATTTTCCAAACACTGATATCACCTCACTGTGTATAGAGTTGTCAGGATCTCGTGATATTAGACTACAAAGCTGGCCTCATGGTGGTTGGCTGGCATATTACCTACAAACACTTTTTGGCAATCAAATTGGCTCTCAAGATTAAGATTCACCTGAAACCGGGAGTAAACAGTAGGAGCAGTGGCTGGGAAGAATGGAAAGGAATTCATCCCTCCTTACAGTGAACTTTTCCTCCCTACTCTTCTGTTTTGGGTTTTTTTTTTCTTTTTTAAACTTACACAAACAGCAGTATTGATGCAGATTTAGTACCAAAGATTTTTTTTATCACTTTCAGGAAAATTTTAACCAACCCTTGCCAAGGAGACTTTATGTGGGAGAACCTTTTTAAGACCCACTTTCATTTGGGCTACTACAATACATACTCAGTCATAATCCATCAGATCTATGACCAAGAAGCATGGAAATTCACAGCCAAAATGGCCTAAGTAGGTCTTCTGATGCTGATTGTAACTTGAAAGATAAGTAGAATTTGTAGAAACACCCTTTTTAACTTAGAATCATAGAATCATAGAATAATTTGGGTTGGAAGGGACCTTTAAAGGTCATGCAGTCCAACACCCCTGTCGTGGGCTTGAGTCAAGTCTCAGGTAAGCTGCAGAGCAGAGTGAGCTGCAGCTCAGGTTAAACTGTCTGAGCACACAAACACAGACATAACCTGAAAGTAAAGCTCATCGTGTGCCTCTCAGTCCATTATTGTTTGGTGTTTTCATGTATGGAGTCGCATGTGATTTTCTAATGTTAGTTTGTCCTGGAGGCAGTTATCTCCTACATTAGTAATGGGAAATTTTATGATAGCGCAGTTGCAGTGTATGTTGCATTATATGAATTTGTGGTTCTTTCTCCCCACAAAGAATC